CCACACTTGAGTGGGCCAAATTGGCATGGTACTCAATATGGCACACTTCTGTTTGACCTGTTTACACTGCAAAAAAATTAACCGTATCATGCCTGGCACGCTTAAAAGTTGTAATGTAAATGGGGTTATAGTAATTTTCCATTGGTGATCCCAAGTTTGTACATAAAGCGATCTGGATGGTAATAACTGGAAGAAAAGTTTTGATTTTGGATTGGACATGAAACGATAGAGAGTGGTAACACAAGTATGTCTCATAGACTCACACCTTACAGGCCTTTGGTTGACCTATGAGACTAATGCAATATAACAGAAGAGAAACCACAGCACCCTTTTTCCAATTATAGATCTCCTGATTTTTCGACATTCATCGACATTGATTACAAATGAAATATATGTTGACTCCATCAGACAGTGGAACAGTAGTCAGTCAATATTAGGAAATGAGAAGAGCTCACTTTGACTGATCTTGGTAACTCACTTACTTACCTGGCCATGTAGAACTAACAAGCCATTTGTTGATCTGACTATAACCTTATCAGACAATAGTTAACTCTATCAAATCTATAGTAGACTATATAACCCAAACAGAATATTAATAGGCTATAGTTGTCTATATAACTTGACCACTGTAATATAGAAATGATGAACTGTAAAATGTATTGAAGGGTTAAAAAAAAATTCTTTACATATATATTTATTAATTATCACAATGGTCTAAATAACATTTGTGTTTAACAACTGATTGTGGTAGTGCATACAAATATCTTACTGAATATGTAATTGGGAATAAGTTTTTTTATGCAGTGGATTCATTTGTCATAATGCCTTGTAAAAATTGGTTAGTACAAAACAAAGCTGAAAGGAAACTTGCTTTGATTGTCTGTACTTTTTGGCTAAGTATAAGAAAGTGATTTGAGTAAAATGATTGCACCATATTTAGTAGTTCTGTGTAGACATATGATTATTATAGCCTTAAGGCAGCATTTAGCCAACTGTATTCTTATTAGAAAATTTGTATGTGGATATGAAGTAATTGCAAAAGTGCATTGAGGTGTACAAAATCATTTAAATTAATCAATAAATCCCATGAAAGATAGGAACGGAGATCAACTTTATAGGAGAATATTAATAAATTACTATTTCATTTATTTCATCTATGTGGCATAAAGAGTAATAATTGTAGCTACAAGTTACATGCAAAACCATTAACCTGATATAAAGGATGGAGGTAGTAAATAGATTTTCCAAATATATGTACAAAGCCACAGGGCACAGACACTCGCGTCTGCCAATTGAGAGATTAGTGTTTACCTAAATATATATTCCTTTCTTTAACCTTTGACAGAAACCAGAATGCTACCTTCAGGCTAGGAAACTTGAATTATACAAAATTATTTGCCTTTCAGAAAAAATGTCCTTCCTGCTTTTATTGAGTTTGTGTCAGGAATTATTATTGCACCTTCCAGCATAAGATTAGATTATAGACACACCATAGATAGATCAGACACTTGCTTATCTCCCTTACATTGATGATTAGATTCTCTCCAGTCCACTTCTTTAATCAATGAAAGTGTACATTATTAATAAATGTTCCGTAAGCTTTTAGAATTGCCATTGGTAGAGAGCCAATGTACAGCTAAAGATGCTACTAGAAAGAAATAATTGTCCTTGCGTGCTGACCTACAGCTATGAATACCATTGAAGCCTACGTGCACTTGGTTAATACTTCAAATAATGGTGTGCTTGTACCCTAATGATTCACTTTTTCTTTTTTAATTCTAAACTTAATTTGTTTAAAAGATAATGATAGTTAACAATTAATTTAATAAATTGGATTATGATCTTCCATTTGGCTTGTTAATTTGGTACATTATGCTCATTAAGACATATGGGAGTCAATATTAGCAGATGTAAAGATGGGATGACGTGTCATCTTTGCAACAAGCAAATCAATATTGACATATTAATTTTGATTGACATATCCACTTCTTGAAACCTATTGAAGGCACTTATTGATGAATCTTAGAATGAAATTAGGTTATATGATTGAATATAATAAAAAAATCTTCACATTGAGATAAATATATTTAATCTAATAATGTCCATTATTGCAAGAAATTGGCACTAATTTAGACATCAAGATGGTGATGTTGTGTCAGGCATGTTCAAATCTAAACCCTTTTCTATAATCTACTCTGTAGATTTAAAATTAACTGTTTGAGTTTTGCTGAGCAGAAAACTATTTTCCTAACTAACTGTTTTCTCTGTATATCCCTTTAAATCTAGCATTTATTATTGAGCTTAGCTGTTCTTGATCCTGGAAGAAGCACTTCTCTGCAATACCAATTTTCACTATGTCGTTCTGTTAAGGAAATGCCTTACGGCTATTTTGTTTGTGAAGAAATTCTTGCTTTAATACACATCTTGGTAAATCCAGCTAAGCTAGGTGTATTGACTACATGGTTGAGGTGCTTTAGGCTAACATTGAATACCATCGAGAAATAATCCCACCGTAGTCTCACATTTGACCAAAAAAGGAAAGTAATATTTCTGGTCACATAATTGGGAATTATGGACTATAAGATAATAAATCTATGCCATAGAACACATGCTGCTTTTATTTTCTTTTTTCTATCAAAGATGGCTGTTAAAGATGGTGGCTTAAAACTGTAAAAATTTTTATTTGCTAGTAGTCTGTGTTATACATTTATGACTAATGCTTCTGCTTTTAGTCGTGTATAAAGATTTTTAGGACATACTTGTGTTTTATTTGACGTTGCCCTACTAAAATCTATTCCCCATTGATTATTATGTAGCATAAAAGGTTATTTTTCTTTGATGATGTTGGGAGAATCTAGAACAGTTTTCTAGAAGGTTAGTTCTATAACTAAAGTATGATTGATTAACAGAAACCTTGCTTTTTTACATTCATCTTAGATACATGTAGAACATTGAACATGGACTACATGTCTTTATAGTCTATGGTTTCCGTGAAATTCTGAAAAAAACTCATAATAAAGAATGTTTGGTAGCAATAAATATCATTTGTTACATTATTTATATCAACAGATATGGGTATCCTTAGGTATTTTGCTATACTTCAGTGTACTTGCTTCAAATATTTTCAATACGAATACAATGTTACTGATATTGAACTATGATTGTATGTTAATTAAGTTAGATGATGACTGTAATAAACTTTTAGCCAGGTATAACATGTGGTCCATTGGACGTGTTAGTTCACATATATATCTGGAAACTTGCATCTTGAACCTTGGTTTAAAGCAGCTGTATATTGTTGGGCTGGCTCTTTTAGAACATTGATTAACTATGTATTCAACATGATCATCCAGTTACTATAAGTAGTAATGATGTGTTATAGTTATGCTAGGATGGAAAATTGGGTGATTCCCTTTAGGTGGACCCTTTTTCAATTGTTTTTTGGGTTTTTTTTGGCCTATGGCAATAAGTTCTTCTTATGAATATTTTGGTTTAGACTGTTATCCTTTCACTGTCTCACATAACAACTCCTTGTCTTCAGAGGAATTATCAGAGAGCTGAAAATTGTGTATGTAGCTTTTACCATCTCGGTTTCAGTCAGTAAAAACAACCAATTAAACAGTTGCGACTGACATCTAGAATATTCAAATTTGTGGTTATAGAACAACCATAGTAAAGATCTCTATTTACAATTATATTTTGAATATCTCTAAAGAGCACATCAATTGACGAAAAAAAAAATTCTGCCAGTATATGCAATTTACGGCAAGTTCACACCAATCTGATTAAAATTAGATCAGTCATCTTTACTCAAAGTAGCAAATATAAATCTCCAGTAAAAATGTAATCGCCAATTATCGAAAACACTCTTAATCCCCTCAGACACCAGTGACGTCACAGTGAATGCATATTCAGAATTAAATAAAACAACTGACTACGGAATAATTTGTTTTGTAATTTATTTTAATTTAAGATACAATTTAGAATTTGTTTAATGATACCATAACAAAGACAGTCACTGTAGCCATATTCCCCTGTGTCCTTTTTGATCAGAATAAATTGGAGTAAGCCAACAGTAAACCTGTACAATTAATCGCTTTTTTATGAAAACAACAAGATGGGTGTAAAATTGTTATCAACAGCACTACGAACATCTATGAAGTCAAGAGATAATTGTCAACATTTACGAAACGAAATTGTTTCAAGAATCGGTCATTTCGTGGTGGTAATTCTGGATGTGATCGACAACAATGTTTCATTCAGAAGCAACTGCGACACAAACTAGGTCATTTCGAGACTAACACATGGTTCAATTTTATTTCAATAATTCGCTTGAGCGTATGAGTCTTTAACAGTGCGAAGAAACCCGGAGAAAACCCACGAGGTTGGACAGACGACCCTACTCCTTGTCAAGTACAACCGGGGAATCGAAACCACGCCAGTTGACTCAATGACAGACCTTATGAAACAGTACACACATGCTAACCATTCGGCCATCCAACCCTCCTAAAATATTCTGTAACAATTCAGGACGAGAAAGGTCAGCTCTTAAATATGGTTTGCGTTATAGACTATAGAGTGATTTGTAGCTTACATGTAGATAATTATAATGAGGTAATGATTAGGTCAGTATGTTAATTGGACCGTGAATAAACACTAGTATACTGGTGGTGTGAATGGATAGTGTATATTCTATGTGTGGTCCCTGTGACGTCATCGGCCAATCAACTGGATTAAGACTGTAATTGAACTATTGAAAAGTGTTTTCAAGTGTCTGATACTTAAACGGTAATATGTCGAATATTTTTAATCAGGTTGGTGTGAACTTACGGTAAAGTGTATATGGTAACCACTGGCTAAAAGTACTTAAAATTTAGTTTGGTCACTTGATGGGCTCTTTAACCAATTCTACCAAATATGTAAAATTTGCAGACAGAATATTACAGACGGCACACACACTTGGTTATTAGTCTAATGTATGTTTATCTGTATATTTACAGGTCTAATTAAAATAGATGATCAACTAAGAAATGTCATCGTAGATAAAGGAGAAAGAGCCAAATTTATTTGTAAAATTGTGACACATCCATTAGATACAGACAGAATACGATTACATTGGAAACATAACGGCAAACTTATTAACACTTCTGATCATGCTAAATTTGTTGTTAAATCAGAGAAATCTAAACATACTTTAGTTATTAAGAATGTGGATCAGAAAGATGGTGGAGTATATATGTGTATAGCTGCTGTAGGTATTGATATGGACATGTCTAGTGCACATTTAACAGTAAGAAGTAAGTACTAGATATTTTATCATAGACTATCATACAGCTCTGTTCAACTTGTATGTAGTACTTTATGTACTCTTCCTGAAATGGGGTTCCAGATTGGGGTTAAATCAGATTAATTAGGGAAAAAATACTAGGAATTGGAATGGAAAACCAAGGCCATGTGTATGAATTGGTAATGTATGAAAAAGATATCCTTTGACAGTTGGGATTCAAAAAAGAGTAGTCCTGGCTAATTTTCTCCTTTTGTGGTAATGAAATGAAATGAGGTTTAACTTCCTACTTTTCTGCACTATCTGGGCAAATGAAGACAGGCATATGCTAAGCAGTGTGCCATGAAGGAAAGTTTGCCCAAACAGTTGCGCTACGATTTACTCTTATTTTGAATGCCAACTTCAATGGATCTTTTACGTGCATGCCAGCATGTACACCGGACCTTGGTATGACTGTATCACTGAAGACTCTGTACTGTAAAGCAGCTTCCGCATCCATTCATTTGACTTTATTACAATGTCTGTGTGTTGTGTCTTGTCTACAGGCTCTACTTCTAGGTTTCTATTTAGTTGATGTTGTTATATGTGGTGCTGTTCTCTTGCACTTTTAGAATTGTTTTGTAGTTAAATATTATAATTAGTTATCATCAGTGCTGTTTTGTTTTATTTTTAGATGCGCCAGATCCTCCTGTTGACGTACAAGTTATAACGTGCCATGGACATTCAGCAGAAATCATGTGGACACCAGGCGCCAGCAATGGAGACCCTATATCTAAATACATAGTGCAATTTAATACATCTGAAAATAGTAATAATTGGTTTAATTATTTTGAAGAATTTCCAGGAGATATGAACAATGTTTTTGTTGAATTATCTCCGTGGGGTACTTATTCATTCCGTGTAATTGCTAGAAATAGTGTGGGAATGAGCAAACCTAGTCAGTCTACAGTGCGTAATTGTACGACACCCCCTGATAGACCAGACGGAAACCCTAAAGATGTTCGAACCAGAACTGATAGAAAAGGCATGCTGGTAATTGAATGGACAGTAAGTACATTATAGATATGTATATTATATACTGGTAAAATTGCTGTTCATGATCGGCAATTCAAGAGGCATTGGCACTTACAAAGTCTTCACTGTTGACAAAAATATTGATTTAACTACCAGTATAAATGTTTAAATTAAATTTGAGAATAATCTGCCAATACATTGCTTTGATTTTAATGATTTTCAACCAGTTTATTGAGTAATCAGTGCTTATATTATTCAAGATTATTTGCATATATTTTTGTTGTTAAAGACTTAATGCCTCTTTCTGAATGGAATAATATTTCCAAATTTATTTATTTTGTACTTTTCCATTTTAATTACAGCCTATGCACCGGTTGCTACATCACGGGCCAGCATTTTGTTATCATGTTTATTGGCGACCAAAGGGCAGTACTTATTGGCAATCTGCTGTAGTGGCAGACCCATCTATTAGTTATTTTGAAAAAGAAGTAGAAACTGTTTATGGCTATTACGAGATACAAGTTAAATCAGAAAACAGTTTAGGAGAATCATATCAGCCAGCATTCGTATATCAAGGTCATTCTGGAGAGGATGGTAGGTCTTGTTCTTATATGCTGTTTTCCTGCATTGCACTTTCATTGGGTAATTAGGACATTAAACCCCATTCCATTTCATTTTCATTGGGTAATTTTTACCACCATATATTTACTTCATAGTTACTAGCTGTCACAGGTGTCATGCACAATGCACATGGCTTACTATACAACAATTTCTTTCTGTTTTTCTGGGTTGTAAAACATTTCAATAATGTGTAAAATGTGATTGGTAGACTTCAGATCAGCCTACCAATCGAAACCTTTGATACAGAAAATTCTGCCAAATCTTTAGAAGGCTTTGATTTTTCTGACAGCCAAGAAGAATATGCAAAAAAAATGCCAGGTGATGTTCAGCGTTTTGAAACTGGACAGCATAAACAAATCCGGTAGGCTCAAAATTTTGTGTAGAAACATGAGATGATTATTTGCTGCTACATTCCTGTGTTTCCAACATCGAAATTTTATCATATCAAGTAAAAATAACATCTGGTTTTAAGTAGAATTACTATTTTGTCTTCTGTTGATTTCCCATGTATAAACTTGATTCACCTGACGATTTTATGGCCTACTTGTGTAGATATTTATGTATGGAATGTGTATGTTTTATTGAGCTGTTTTATTTATTAAATTGCCTTTTAAAACATTCTTATCAACGTCTTCCATCAGTTTTCAATTTAAATAAAGAAAGTCCCATTTATATCATATTATTTTGTCAAATCACACAATATCACAAAATCAGAAAGTTTATTTTTATGTGGATTTATTTCTTCCAGAACCACTAATTTCTCCAAAAGATTTTCGTTTGGATCCCAGTTATCCAGTGGAACCACATACAGCACATTTTATATGGGAAGCAGTTGATACAGCTGAGGATAAAATACGTGGATCTTTTCGTGGTTATCAGGTAATTTGAATGTTGTTTTATAATAAGTGAGTGTTGTTGTCGAATGTGTTTAAGTTTTTGTGAAGCTAGTTATTCAGTTGAGAGCAAGTTGATAATATAGCTGATAATGGATCAATTTGATTAAAACACAGATCCTATTTCGTTTCGTTTTTTATAGTTCAAAATTTCGTTTTACTTGTCTTTACTACACTAGGATCTAGAAGAGTTGTTATATAACCCAAATTTTAGTTAATGTGAGGGATTAGCCAATGAAATGGTTTGTTGCAGCGAATTCTTGGAACTGTGGATATCCTACTAGAAACATCAACGCTGATTGGCTAATCAAATGTCTGACGTCATAGGATCAAAAGCCACTCGTTTGACCCCTAACATGACCTCCCACTAAAAGTGCTCAGATCTTCATGTAGCAGAGGCCATCGAAAGTATAAACCCGCGGCTGCCAGAGATGGATAGAGAACAAGCTAAACAAAAAGTGATTTTTCGTACAATTGGGGGCCATAATTCAGCAAGTTACGATCCGATATGCACAAATATCGAAATGAACCAAGATCTTTGGGTTTTAAACTTACATTTCAAGTTTCATCAAAATCAGAAGAAAATTGTCACCTCTGAGGGTCCACAACCTTGATGTACCATATTTTTACGCTATTTGAGTACGAGGGGCAGCCATTTTGTCTGTCAGTTTTGGTCCGATTTTCACGAAATTCGAACCCAACCATCCTTAGGGTGTAAAGGTGATATATTCAAACGTTTTTTTAAATCGGATAATAATTGTGACCTCTACTGGCTCTAGAGGAACCTCAAGCTAAAAACGCAATTTTTCGTACAATCAGGGGCCATAATTCAGGAAGTTACAGTCTGATATCAACAGGAACCAAGATCTTTGGATTATAAACTTACATTTCAAGTTTCATCAAAATCAGAAGAAAATTGTGACCTCTAGAGAGTCCACAACCTTGATATATCATATTTTTACGCTATTTGAGTACGAGGGGCGGCCATTTTGTCTGTCAGTTTTGGTCCTATTTTTCGTACAATCAGGGGCCATAATTCAGGAAGTTACGGTCCGATATGTGCGAATATCGAAAGGAACCGAGATCTTTGGGTTATAAACTTACTTTTAAAGTTTCAACAATATCAGAAGAAAATTGTGACCTCTAGGAATATATGGTATATCAAGGTTGTGGACCCTCTAAAAGTCACAATTTTGTTCCAATTTTGATAAAACTTGAAATATATCTTTATAACGCAAAGATCTTGGTTCCTGGCAATATTTTCACATATCAGATCGTAACTTCCTGAATTATGGCTCTTGATTGTACAAAAAATCACATTTTGTTTAGCTTGTTCTTTATCCATCTCTTGTAAAATGTGGGCTTATCTTGCTTGGCAGCCGCTGTTTTTTCTAAAAATTTACTAGCCTGGGGGGAGTGCCCCTCTCCCGTATGCCCATCCCCTTCCCAAGTTGCTTATCCAAGGGCCCAAAAGGCACTGTCGTGGGCCCTGCTTGGGTAGTCAAGAGGTCTTATGGTCTAACAAATGTGCTTTAGATCAGAGAGTCTGTTTTTGATTAGGGTGTCATTGAGTTATGTTTTGTGGTTTTGATTACATGTTGTACGGGACGAGTAAGGTCGTCTGCCGAACCTTGTGGGTTAATCTCAGAGTGCCTAACCTTGTGAGTTTTCTCAAGGTTTTCTTGTCTCCCCCCGCACTGCTGAAGACCTCCTTTATTAAAGCATACCCAAAATGTAAATCCCAAATGACCCAGAGGAGTGGATATTCATCCATTCAAATGGCTTGTCAGTCTGTGCTTGTTTTAGACCAAGACTTTAAATGTACATCTGATGTATTAGACATTACCATTATGGTAGATGAAATTGGTTTTGGTTTAATATGAAAACCTTTAAGTTTGTTATACATAGCCTCTAGTGATTTCTGTAATGTTTCGCTATCACTACTTTCTGGGCCCATTAATGACAATATGACACCCTTGTGATTTGAGATCTGTGACAACATCTGTCCATTATACTGTAGACATTTTATCTAGGATTTAATGAGTCATTTGACATTAGAACTCTCAAATTGAACATTAAATCACTGTGAATCCATATCATAGTTAGTTCATCATTATGGTAACTGTGTAACATTAGTCTAATACAAGCCAGCATCTTAAACCAAATTTTGACACCTGTGATAATTATATTAATGGCAATATATAAGTCTTATTATGAGGGTTTTGGATTTTAGTTAACAATAGAACAATGAAACTGCTGAATAAAATGTTCCAATGTTCAGATTAGATTTTGAAACAACCAGAAATAGTTGAATACCTCTCAAACACTGCTGTCCAACTGTGTGTTCTTCATGAAAAATTTCTTAAATACAAGAAACTAAACTGTTTTCATTTGGATTAAAGTATAGAATTGGGTTGATCTGATGTGTTATTTAGATTAATGGTAGGCATCTCACAAATCAACAAGTTTAAAATTTGGACACAAAGAAGTAGTGCCAAATGAAGCTTAAATTAATTGATATCAACAATGCAGGAAAACTGTGAAACCAAACATAGAACAAACCCTACATTCATGGATATTAGTGAAAAAGGAAACAGCAAAATTCCAAATGTAAAGTGTAAAAGCTTAAATACAAGCTTGAACAGGACAATAAGAGAATAGAACACTTGATTTAAGATGACAATTGTTGCTAAACATATATATAAAACATATACAACCTTACTGATATGAACATTATATGATATTACTACATGTACTTATTATTTGCAAAGAATATAAATAATTTCATCAAATTACATCTTTTTCTCTTTAAATATTGTATTGTAATCTATGATGCCATAATGTAATACATCTAAGTAGAAGAAGAATTACTGCCAGCTCACAGCGGCCGTTGTTAGTTTCAGGCATTGCGTAATATTGTATTTTCGATACATTTCGATCAGAAATAATTGCACAGCTTTTGTGATTTATAGAGCAGCCAGACAATGTTTATGCCTAATTTAGTTTTGATATATATATCCAGGTATTTTCAATGCCTGTGTGAGTACTTAATGAAAACATCGAAACTAGTTTCTGTATGGTCAAAATCTATAACCAAAAATGAAAATCAATTGTTAATCTGGTGCATACCTTGAGGGATATGATAATCAATTATCTATTGACTACCTTCTGATTGTCGTGTGAATAGAATCAAGTAAATAACCTGCTTGGTCTTTATTCACCTTTTATTAGAAAAAAGTAAGATGGAATTATACAGTTTGTTACTGGTAGTTACTATCATGTGGTTTGATCCAATCATTAGTACAATATTATTGGTGTTAAAATTAGTAATGTTGATTACATGTCAGGATATGGTGAAATATAAAATGGTGTATAAACTCACTAAATAACACATCTACTTTATTAGAAAATTATATTTTTATATACTTGCATGTCAAAACAACATTAATTCATACAAGTAACCAATGTTATATATTGATTTTCATCCAATATATTGTCATTTTAGCTGCGGTACTGGAAGTCAAGTGAAGGCCGTTTTAAAATGAAAAATGTAGATATTATTATTGATACGTCTGACGGGTCTCATGGAACTGATGTACGAGTTGCACTGGCAGATCTTCCAGCTTATACTGCTCTACGTGCACAAGTGACAGTAAAGAATAGCCATTATGCTGGTCCCCCAAGTCAAACTATAGATTTCTTTACTCCTGAAGGAGGTAAGTTGTCAAGAGATGCTATATAGAACTTTCAATTTGATTGACATAATTCACTTACATCGAGAAAATAGATGTACACAATCATACATTTAATCATGTTAGTCCACCCATTGTCTTTAAAAAGACAAATATTTCAGTAATTGTAAAGAAAAGCAACTCAATTTGTAGTACACATTCTTGTTATTTTTGCAAAATAAAATGATTTTGTTATGTAAATTCATAGACAGTAGCCATACATAATTCATTATGTAAAAACACTTCATATTTTTTATGTTTACAGAACCTGGTCCTGTTAGAAAGCTGCATACAGAAGCGTATGGTATGTCGTATGTTTTATTAAAATGGCTGCCACCTGATGAACCTAATGGTTTGCTGATTGGATATGACATCGGCTATCAGACAGGTAATTTACCATCCACAATTTAAAGTTCATGTTTTTACGACCGGGTATTGTTAAGAGATAAAAGTTCGGTCACACCGGTCAAACTATTCAATCCATCCATTAGTATTTGTCTGTTCTAACTCGAGATGCTATTGTTGTTAAATGGGTGTTTACAGATTGGCGTTTGTATCAATAATATAACAATCAATATCTTTCAATACCTGTCAATCGTAACAAGTTAATTGTTGTCATGAAATCATCTCACCACAGATTGTCATTAAATCCTATTTAGTAACGATCATTTAGTATTGGAATTATTGATTTTACAAGTTACAGTGCAAAATTGGAATTTTTCAAGCATATAAAATTGTGATTATTTGCATAATTATTGATGTTTGTTTTATTGTCATTTGTTTAATTTACCCAATTCAGATGTACATACATGCACTGCATATTGCAAAATTAAAGGGGCATGGCTGAATTTGGTGACCTTGACATATTTTGCTATTGATTTCAGACTCTATTTTACAATAAAAATATGCATATCTCCTTACCCTGTAAATTTGTTTTTAAAATATTACAGCCTACAAAAGATTTCTATATAAACTTATCAGTTGACACTAATTATGCAGCAAGATTTGCGAAACATTAGAGTTATATTTATCTGCGTCAAATAGTTAGAAAGTTACTGCAATTAACACAACACAGGGCCTGATGAAAATAGAGAAATTGTTCTTGGGCAATAGGCATCTATAGAAATAGGGTTGAAAAACCTAAAAAAAAAAAAATGACTTGCTGTGCTATACTTGGCAGCTAACATGCTGGCTTCTGTGTCTCCATGGTAAATTGCATCATTAAACAGTTGTAATATTTTGCCATATCCCTTTAATTAGATTGAAATACCAAAAGTACAACAAAAAATTGTCAACATTAATACTGACATCTGTGTTGATGATGTATACATGTCTATCTATGGTTCTTCATCATTCTTCTCCCTTCCCACAAATTAAAATAGATGCATCAAAGTTGATCCTTAAATGCCATAGATTATATATTGTATGTCAATTTTCATGCTAAAAAACAATGCGTTATAATGGGATTTGAATGTGAAAATGCACATCCAGTTTAAGTTGTGGAGATCATTTCTTTATAAAACCTTACAAATAAAAACTCTCCAAAGATTGAAAGTGTCGGACTTGTAAATGTCCTGGGTTTTTTAGTTTCAGGTAAAACTCTGGGCTCTATTCAAGCATTGAAACCTCAAATAACTAATCCGTCTAAACTAGGTGCTCGTATTACTGGTTTAGATGCCGATCATGAATACAGATTTTATGTGTGGGCACGAACAGCAGCTGGAAGAGGAGATTCAGCATATCTTGATATTAAAACTGCAGATGGCAAGCGTTAGTATTTTATATTTTATTTTATTATTAATTTCTACTGATAGTAGGTAAATATTTATTTACTTAAAACAGGTTTACGGCATTATGCATTGAAAAGTTTTGCTTGGTGAACATATATCGAGATTATATTAAATAAAAATATTTAGAAAATCACATGGGAAACCATGTTTTTTTTTTTGAAAGTATGTATTGAAAATATTTGGTGAAACCACGTTATGAAAACATGTCTTGTCTAGTGAAAATATGTAATGAAAATATTTACTAAATTGAAAAAATGTAATAAAAATATTTACTAAATTGAAAAATTGTAATGAAAATATTTACTGAATTGTCACTGTAATCGCAGAAATATGTAAGGAAAGGCAAATCATGTGGAAACGTGTTTAGTGATAGTAAAAATGACTTTATAAAACTGGTCTAGAAATAATATATAATGAAAACAATTATGTAAACATGCAAAGTTGCTTAGTGACAATATTCCATAAAATAGCAAGGTGAAAATTGGTCAAGGAAAAGTATGTAATGAATACATTTAGTGAAACTCCATGGTGAAAACACTTCTTCAAGAAACATAACACCAGCTTATGTGAAATATTGCTCAATGAACATATAAAGATGATTTGTAGAATCACTGTTTGAAAAATTCCATTAGATTATGTGCATTTAGTGAAATTATCTAGTATAAACATGTACTGAAAATCTTTTGTACTATTATCTATTGAAAATATGCAAAAATAATTTGTGAACATATGTTTACTGTAAGTACCTTATTGAAATGTTAAAACACGTAATGAAAGTGAAAATATTTTCCAAAATATGTAATGAAAATATTTAATGAATTTTTTTTCTCCCTTTCATAGGTGCCAGAAATTATTATCGTGCTGCCAATGGACAATTAGAAAGTGCTTATCATGATGAATCTTCAGATTCTTCCCATCGTACAGTTTGTTCAATACTCGTGATTTCATTAACTATAATAACCCTTGCTGTCTTCCATCACTGATATTTATATACATGCAATCTATATATGTGTATACCTTTAATGGTTGTGATTATTTTTTATTCAAATATGTTTTAAAATCGCATGGTGGACACACAAAAGCTAAAGTAATTGTCACTTATAACAGGAAACAGATGATTAAAGCAGAGCATAAAAGACAGAAGCCATGTTTTATTTTGAAGAAATAAGAGGTTGTGTTCTTTATATACACATATTTTGATATGCTGAAAGACTATTAATAGACAATGTGTATGTGGAGTTTTATTGTGCCATGGTTTATGAGTGGATGGTATGTGATATTAATTAATTTATTAAACAATTTAATCAAACCCTAATTATAATATTTAATAAGAATTAATAAATTTATTGTTGATGATTACTTGTCAAAAGATGATTGACTGAGAGTGACTCGTTATCTAAATTCAAATATTAATAAAGCTGTATATTATATACATATATACATATATTTGTTTATTCAATGTTAGTTAAGTACAGAAGGTTGTTGCAGTGTTTTGAAAATGAAGCTTTATCTCTGTGTACATTTGATACACTAGTACCTAAGGGACAAACAGTTGTAATGTCCTGCTTGTGATGCATGTACATTTGAGCTAATGCTTAGAATGAATATTAATCAAAAATCTTAGAAAATTGTATTAAAAGTATGTCAGAATTTAGCTTTAAATTCATAATGTAAATATTGCAACAATAGTAATATTGAGCCTGCAGATATTTCTGGGGGGAATAAAGCCAAACTTAGAAATTATTAATTAGTCAATTGAAATAAATGCTGCCTAATTTTTTTATTAAGATATTTGTTTTTGGAGCAATAGCTTGTGTGTTGTCTTTTTATAAGTGGTGGAATGTGAAAGCATCAATTTATCATTATCATCATTATTATTATTATTAATTATTATTGTTATTATTATCATGGTTGTTTAAGATGTGTATGTTTGTCATCATTTCATTTAATGATATTGTCTCATTCAACTAGTTAGATTACATTTTAGGTAGCTAAATTATGCAGAATTGTACATAGTAATATTAATTATAGCCTATGAGGCCAATAGTCCTTGGGGCTTTTGTGTTATATGATGTTAGTTTAATTCCATGTTTTTTTATAATCTGTTTATGTTGAGAATTTTTTTTTTCAATTTGATAGTTTTGTTTTTAAATTTTGTTTAATATGATGAAATTGTTAAATCTGTCAACCAACCATTTATGTCTATTTTTGTTTTGTTTATACCAGAAGTTATAGTGTTTATTTGACCTAGTCACAGAAGTTTGAACTTTAATCCGAAGAATATCATCTTATCAAAGGAGATAGCAAACAAATGAGACAATTTAAACTGTGGGGAATATATTATTACACTACTTAAGTTAAAAATTACTACATTCCATTAAATATTTCTAATTCCTTAACCAAACAGAATTTGATAGGAAAGTTGTCAGTTTGACTATAGAACATGTTGTGTTTATGTTCTTGATTTCTTTGTTCCTCTTTATAAGGTATGAACACATCTTTATTTTGTTCCAGTTTTAATTTTGGTTTTATTACTGTTGTGTAAATGTTTAAAAAAAACATAAAAATGAAATGAAAGTATGATCTAAATTTTCCCATGGTATATGGGCAAATTCTGTAGTTGTGATGGATACTGTGAAATATACAATAGACAATATAATTTATCCTATGGATATATAGTCATCTGATCTTATAATTCACAGTTGATAAAGGGTTAGTGAACAAGATTGTAATACCTTTGTAGTCAGATTTTTATGTGAACAGGAATGATGTATTAGATCCATATTTTAAGCAGACAGGTCTATAGAGAGTAAACAAAATGGGAGTAATATTAGGGTTAACACTGGTATTCAGATATAATTACATTTGAAAGAAATTTATCAATAGTCATCATGTAATTAAAGAATAATTGATTAGGTTTTAACCACAAAGCTAATTTGTTCCTTCTTTTAACTGTATTATTAGTAACCTATTTAGTATTGACTAACATTTTAATATAGTTCTGCCTCATCACTATATTAACCAATATTTAATAGATTAAAATGAGATTATAGATATATTCATTAATTTTTTTTCTGTTGGTGGAGGGTAAGCAGTCTCTCTTGTGAGTAGTTTGTTTCCTCTGAAGATGCATCGAATTTTCATGAACACGAATTACAGAGAAGTAAATAATATTTTAAAATGAAGTAGGAGTATTTAGACAAGATATACCTGTATGTTATTGTGAAAATTAATGTCATATTTCTGCTAGATATATACATGTATTATATATATTTTTTCAAAAGAAATTAGCATATATACTAGAATGACAATCTTCTGATATATATTATATTATTTAGTATTGCATACATACAACATTAAAAGAAGATTTATTTATAATCAAATTTAGTGTTTTTAGGAATTGTGTGGTTAATAAGATCATATATGAAATTGATCCATATCCTTTCCCCCAAACCATCTATAAACTTTGTAGTACATGTGATTCTCTACAAAATCTATTTAAAATATTGGGATTAAAATAATAGCTGTTTTCAAATCCCTTGCTTTATCATGTTATTATTGTCAATGCTATTAAACACTATCCTGTTTATTATTAGCATACTGGTTATTACTTCTATTTATTTCTTGGCATTCAATAAATATGAATAATAGTAATACCTATTCTTGTAAGTTTACAGGGTTTGAAATATTGTTTATAAGGTATTGGTAACACAGCATTTTTAAATTTAGGTTATAATTTTTATAATTCATACATTCCTTTCTACCAAGTATAGTCACACAAGTTTATCTTCATTTATTGTTTTCATTACTGTGAGACGCATTCTTTTTAGAGTGATATGTGTTTTTGCAGACAATGAAAATATATCATCCTGGCAAATTCTACTTTGATCCCTCTATATGGAAATCACTACTAGGTGGTAGAAGGTATATTACTCCCATGTTTGTAAAAGGAAGGGTATATACATTTTTACTTGGTTATCACCATTTTCTATTGAGTTATCACAAATTATAACCTAAAAAACCTCTTCTCAGATTATGGAAATTTTTAAAGTTATATTAATTTTGTTCTTACGTTCATGTTCAAATTTATATTTTCTTAAGTTTCTTACAAATATTTTGTTTTTAAACTTTAGATAAATGTTAGTTAAAAGCTATAGTAAGGTTTTAATTGTTTGTTATTTATCTTAAAATTTGGCCAGGGAACATCCGTTCTGAGTAGACTGAGAATAAGCCCTTGGTATTAATGAATGAACATTACCAGTAACTTTACATCTAATCTAAATCAAATTTTAGCATTTTTTTTTACCTCAATTAGAAGCAGAGTTATTGTTTCCCAAAAGATGTGATAGCTGGACAGTAGACAGAAAAACAAGACAATAGGCGGGGGCTACTAAGAAGGTGTGTGTGTGTGGTGGAATAATCCAAAAGTCCAGTGCATTTACCGGAGACTCTCCCGACATCGTACCAGATCGCAATATACAGCTATAACAATTGTCACACATCTCTGTAGAAAGGTCGAAATTTAGTCAATTATTGTTTCACCATACACCAGAACAACTTATAGATGTTTGTTTATTATTCCCAGATAATTTCAATTCAACGCATACATCATCAGACTCCATTGTCAAAACCGGTTATAGTATAACACCCATGAATTTTGGATTGAAAGAACAGGGATGTATGTCGTAAATAGATAAATGATAAGATAAGGTGTGTGAGTGGGGGGGGTAGCTACGAGAACGTAACTAAAAACGTTGAGATATACCGATGTGCTTGTTTTTAGCTACGATTGGGTGCCTTTTAGTACCAAGTGGCAAGCTTAAATTTCTTTATGAATGCATAATTATATACTATTATGACTAATTAAACTTACAGAGGCCAATGTAGTGCACAACTATCGCCTAACTCAAAATAATGAATGAAGCTTTGTTTTTATCCGACATACACAGGGTCAGATTAACCATGGGGCACAGGCCCCAGGGTCCCCCACAAAAATCTCAGTTGCGTCCAGCCCCCTCCTCTAGAAATGCCATCATTTCATAGCACTCGCATGGATTGGTCCACTGAAATAACGCCAGAATGCGCTAATTTTGTGGCAGAATTTAATTTTTTTGTGGGGGAGGTACTTCTAAATGGCTCCACACAAGTGCCTGAAATGCCAGGAAATCACGTTTCCGACCTCCAATTTCTTAAAATTTTCGGGGTGTGTGTGTGTGTGTGTCCCTGATCCCCCTTGCGGGGCTTCGCGCCTTCGGCGCTCGCTGTGGCCGGCTTCACCGGCCACAGCTCCGCAGTCGGTGATCAGGGGCCCCCCACATGTTCCAGGCCCCAGGGCCCCCACCATGGTTAATCCGACGCTGGACATACACCGCCATAGTTACATGTCCCGTTTAAAAATGGTGTTCCTAGTAACGGCTTCACGCCTCAATTTTAAATACGATGATCTATACCTTTATCAGGTAGGATTATATGCTTAATTGTAGTTGGTTGTGTGTGGGGGGGGGGGGGGGTAGTAGATTTCACGATTCTCCGTGCAATTCGATTTGTATTACCGCTGCCATTTTAATCTGAATTGAAGCCGTTTACACCACTGTACAGTTATCTTCACAGAACCCCCTCTCTCTCAGAAGTCCTAGCCTGGGGGTCGGGTGTTCGATCCCTGCATTGGCCGAGAAAGTTCATCCAGTTTTTCCGGCGTGGATCCCCCTTGTCAGTGATGCAGGACGGAGATAGCCTGAGATCGTTCGGATGGGACGAAAATCCGAGGTCCCTTGTACACATTGGAGTGCACATAAAAGATCCCATGACAGTTGGAATTCGATATAAGAGTAGGTCGTAGTGCCGCTGTCTGAGCAAAATTTCCCTCATAGCACACTGTATGGCGTATGCCTGTCTTCATTAGTCCAGTTCGGAGCAGAACAGTAGGACGTTAAACCCCATTTCATTTCATTTCTCTCTGAAGTCGAAAATTAAAAAAAAATACTCCTTTCCAGCTAAAACCCTAGAATCATTATCACCTCGTCGTATTTTTGTGGTGGAAACGGTATTTTTAGAAATAACAATATATATATATGATCCTTGAGAGCCGAACGGAGTCGACTTTCTCGAAAAATAAGAGAAGGTGGCGTGGTAGAAATCTTTCATTGCTTACCTTTAGGATTTATTGACTGTTTGAGAAGCGGTTTTAGGCGAGTTAATGGCACCTATATTTGATTATCTCCCTTATAATCAACACGCGCCTTATGGACTTGACGCATTTCTAACATTCGTCTGTGACCGTAAGAACAGGGCCCTGTTACTCGAAATCTTAGCTAAAGATAAAATCCAAATTTTAGTAGATACTTCAATATTGTTTGGCTAAGCACTAAAATCAATCTAATATTATCCAATTAAATTACTAAAATTTGGATTTTATCTTAGTTAAAATTTCGTGAAACAGGCCCCAGGTCACCAACATCTTCAAATCTGTCAGTGGCCTTTCCTCACGACCGCCGTCTCCTGTGTCTGATGATATTCTTCTAAGCAGAGGCGGATTGGGGCCAGGAACCGGCCCGGGCTCCCGTTTCAAGTAATATATATTATATCATAAATCGATTAATTTAGGCCAAAACCCCGACCTGCAAGTAATTTACAACCATCAACCTGTGAAATTATCATATCGTCAGATTATGCAGGATTCCGAATTCCGGCCCACACCCAGCCCAGAAAGTCTATTATACCAGTCCATTCCAGACTCCAGTGATGGCGTGGCGGCCCGTTAAAGCCACCGGCCACATACAACATGATCATCATCGCTCCATGGCCGGTTCAATACCCCCCACCCCGTATAATGTTCAGCAGAGAAAGTTTTTTTTAGACGAATTGGACAAATTTTATTTTTTCATTTTTTTCCGACCGGCCCTTCGATCGCCAGATCCGCCCCTGCTTCTAAGTGTTGTTGCATTTTGTCACTTCTGGTGTATGTGCTCACATTATGAAAATCTGCAATTAATGTTGCATCAGATTTTATGCTGTATGCAAAAAAAACCCTTTTTTTTATCTTTATTTGATTTGTAACGGCAGAACTTTCGTTTTATTTCGCATTTCTGTCTAGATGGACATGTTCATCGAATTAAAATTCTCATGATTATCTGGATTTATGTGTTATTTCTGGACAGATGTCTTCAAATGGAGTATATATATATATATATATATATATATATCCAAAAGGTTAGGCACAACCGTAAAGCTGTACTACTTTGTTGCACGGTAAACGATAAAAAACATAAAAGGTATATCGAACACAAACTGTTTTCAACACTGGTTTATTTATCGCCATATAATCATCTGTAACTTTTCAATGTGGAATGGGGAGTGTGCTTTTGTTCCCATGTCGTATTAATTGTCAATGAAATCAAATTATTAAAATTGGTGAGACCCATTTCCCATTTAACCGACATTTACGATAAAACACGCTGCCGCAATGAACAACAGTTTTACTGTAATGCAACCCTTAAATGCAGACTTATTTTCGTTAGAGATTTTTTTTAGGAATTCTATATTTTTTCGGATTACAGAGAAATGTCTTCCAAATAGAAATATCGAACAGGCTTATTTGATTATTTGTTATATAGTTGTGGGTAACCTTATACAAGCAATGGGAAATGCTGATCTTAAATTGAATTTATGGGTGAATCATCTCCACACTCATATAAATTCAGTTCACAATGTCCAAATTCAATTTGAGTAAGCATTTAGATGAGTGTTTCTAGGGTTGTTATGCTTTACAAAATGAATATTGTAATATAAAATTATTAGAGGAGAAAGAAATTAGATTGATAAATCAATAGATTTGACAGCATAGAGCCTCCAACTAAAATATCTCTACAATTGCTACAAGATTTCAGTCTCGTTACAATAAGACAGAAGAGAGAGAGATAGAATATAATCTTTTTACATTAAAAGAATTGTCACCGTATTATAAAATGGCGTGTGAACTGCTTGAAGTGGGTAGTCTCATACCACAATCTCTGCCATGACGAATTGGTAAATTTGTCATCGCTAAATTTGTCATTCACTGCTTCAGAAACTGGATAGGCAATAAAGACTTTATCAATCGATGTCACCCCCACATTTGTGCTAAATAACTCATGAACTTCAAATACTTTGTATGTTTGAATAAAATCCTCGCCAAGAATTCAGTTCAGTAAATTGAGAGTTTAATCGACAAACCAAGTTCGCAAAATTCTAAATTTCGTTAGTACACTTTCCTCTTATCGACTAACCCTATCCTATGGCAATCCTATTACTCGATCCCTACAAATTTTGAAAGTATCCATCAGGACTCTGCCTAATGGAAGAGGGGGTGGGAGTATGCAGGAACTATTTCCATACACTTGGTGATCTTCTTGTCCTTCAAAAAAGCCCAAAGCTCTGCCAATTCGATTACGATGGAAATGAACCTTAGCATGTTTATTCTTTGACGATTTACGGATTTCGATTTTTGAAATAATTCCAAGATGTGAGGTTCCAGGTTCACAGTAGTTCGGTTGACCGTACCCGTTGTTTCCTACATTCGAGTCTCCCGTCATCTGGGAGCAAGCCAAATTTCCCGAATTTCTGTATTTTAGCCGTATGCTGTAATGTACATAACACTAAGTAAGTTTGATAAAGATGACCCCCTTGTCTCTTTACACGATCTGTATTTAATTAAACTGTCTTTGAAGTTTTATTGATTTTGGACGTAAAAAGGCCCCGATACTGAAACAGTAACAAAAACACAATAAAGTTGAAGAAAAATATTTGTATAGCCATTATGAAAGACCATATTGTTGATGAAAACGGGTTCGATGCAATATCAGCCGTTGATCATGACCTCTGTGAAATAGAATTTGGTTTAATGTTTCGGAAACACTTTACATGATCATTTTGAAACCCGATAAATATAATAGTCTTTTATCTTCCAGTAGTCAAACGGATATGATTACAAGACAGTCGTGGTGGGTGGGGTTTATGCCAGCAAACGTTCTTTTTTTATCCATGGTTGGTGTTGGGATAACATACCCGGTATTATACCGTTGACGTCGGCTTGGCATTGTAGTTTGGTACCGATGAGCGAAGCAATGCTCTATAGTATTATAGCCTGGATGTCGAACCCACTACATTACACACTCAA